ACAGGGTAAGAGTAGCATATCTCTGATAGCAAACCAGTTTCTCATGACCTAAAAACCAGCTTTTTGCACTCCTTAGAGCTCCAGAGCATTTTATAAGTGAAAAAAAATGCCCTTTATCCAGTTGAAAGTGGTAGAAGAAACTTTGCTTTTGGAAGAACAATCTCAAAGAACAGAAACTATGAGTCATAGTCCTTGTGGGTTACTTGCCTCCCATTTGATTTGTTTAGGCTTTAGGCTGTGTCACTCTGCAAGCCTGAGTGAGCTAGTAAAGGTGGCAACACATCAGGTTGGTCTCCACTGACACCACTTGCTTTTCAGGCAATTTCAATGTGCAATTTGACAACTGAAAAAATTAGGCCTTGCAACCTTAAGTCTGGAGGAGACAAAGCTGAAGAAACAAACATTTACGAGCCAAATAATAACATCAGCATGATAATTATGAATACTGTCAAAAATGATTTTCACCAAGTAGACAGTAATAACGTCCAATAAAAATGATGAAGATAGGGTCCAGGGGACCTCTGCATTTTACATACCATTGATTTGGTATCAAATATTTTGAACAGTTATTGAGACATTAGTACAAGGATCTGGAATGTAATAACCTTTTAAAGTTCATAATTATAAAGACTAGTCAGAATTTTTTGTAGGTCCGTTAGCAGAGAGTTCTTAAATGTGAGATTTAATCCCTTTATCTTCCATGGTCATTGGGTATTATCTCAAATAAACTGGCCTACTCTTATTACTGGGGGCATATGAATTACTGGACCTGAAAACACTGAGTACTTTCTAGTTTTCAAGTGGGACCACTGGCTGGTAACTACTGACACATCTGCATGAGCATTTATTAAAAGTTTGATAGGCTTTTTCCTTATATTGGCAGTTAACACTGGTTCCCTTGGGCTGAGAGGCAAACATCCATGATCTTATCAATCTGCCTTTCTGCTATGAAACACTTTCTAAGCAATTTCTAGAAACTGAGACAAATTCATTCTTGCAAATCCTTCTAACTTCTGTAGCTTGTGTCAGATACCTGGGACCCACTGAGCAAGATACAACTTTTTGGTTTTAAAGCCTCCTGCAGGCAGCCCTACCCAAGGAATATGAGGGCAACTTCCCCTGTAGTGGATTTCCTGAGCTGTGATTAGACTGATAGAGGAATCATCTTTGTGGGTAATCATCCCTGCCCAAGGAGCTTCCCTTGTACCTGGTATCTATTGAGAGCCTTTAGACAGAACCTCTGGAGAGTATCTCTGATTGCTGGTTCACATCTATGACCTGTTCCAGCCTGAAGAAGCCAGAGTGGTCATCATCCATGATTCCCTCATGGCAGTTCAAGTTCAGAGGGAGAAATGTTGTAGGCAGCTATATTGGATAAAAATATTATAGGCAGTCAGATAGGGCCAGACCCTTAAGGAGACAATATGGAAGACAAGGTGACTTTGCAACTTGGAAGAGATAGACAATCCCTATGGGCAAGACCTCAAGACAAAAAAAGGAAACAAATATAGCTACATACTCTCCTAGGGATGGGCATCAGGGATTGATATTATAAATAAGTATCAATCACCTTGAAAGATCCCAAATAAGTAATGAACCTAACCCCAACAGAAAGAGATCCTGTCCCTTATTCATGCCTGCTTGATATGTGACTTGCTTCCTTATTTGGTACTGATCTAATCAATTTTACCTGAACAATTATGCTTGTTATCTCATTGGCTGACCATAATTTTGTCCCACCTTATGCCCACCTAAGTGAGTTCCCATGTTCTCTATTACCTTACACACACTTCACTGTGTGGTTTTACTCTATAAAAGTCCCTGGAAAAGACAGCTTCCAAGGGACCTCCCATTTGTGGACCTCCTCTTGTCCTTCTCTCAGGCAGGATATTTCGTCCCCTCAGTAAATATATTCTGTTCATTAAAAAAATAGGACTTGTATAAGTTTCTACTATATGGATAGTATGCAGAGTTAAACAGTCATGAAAAGTGAAACCACTAAATGTGTTAACAACGTGCATTCCTATGATTGATCTGCAAGTATCTGTTCAGCCCTAGTGCACAATTCTAAGTGCTTTGGATCATACAAATGTATATTCCATGACCTATAGTGATAACAAACCTTTTAGAGACAAGTGCCTTAAATACAACTCAAAACCCACTTATTTGTTTATTGCAAAGTGCTAACATTGAAATTAAACTTAAATATTGAGGTTTTAGTTTAGAAAAAAAATCACATATTGACATCTTTTGTCTTAAGAGGAAAACAACATGCATGAAATAAATTCGCCCCCACTGGCTATGTCTTCCATTTTGGTACCATCAAGTTGGCAAGAAAATATACTAATGTATCACTTAACTTCTTTTATTGATGAGGATATGCCCAGGGAGGTATATCAGTACACAATTTTGTTGTTGTACAAACATTATAGAGTGTATTTACTCAGACTGAGGTAGCCTCGATGCCACTAGGCAATAACGTCTTATGGAACTGCCATCATATATGTGTCTGTCACTGTCCAAGACACCATTATGTGACTCATGACTGTAAAATAAGAAAACAAAAAAGCCCATAATAAGATATTTCTAAAACATTTAAATGTGGTCTCATGCTATGCTTACTGAATGAGAACTTCTGACACAGTCATAGGCATTTCTCTACCTCCACCAGAGCCCCATGACTTGTGAGGCACTGTAATCAACAGTAAACACTGGGACTGAACGGAACCTGTGAAGAGCTCACTTGCAAAGTTCATTCCAAAGAAACAGACTTTTCTCCAAATTCTACTTCCCACAAGTCCTATATTTTATGTATTAAGAAACTTTCAAGATCATAAATGTAGACTCAAACAAAAGAAAGTTTTCTACCTACAACTGATGGAGAGGTGGTGTACTCACACAATTTGCTTACCAAACTTATGATTGCAAATGCAGAAAAATTATTTCCTAGCATATTTTGTTGAACTTAGACATCAAGGAAAGCTTCATATGTGAAGGTTTTGGAACATGAATATACACCCAAATATGTCACTATAGTCTTTACCCTCAGAAGTTCATTCTAGACTTTCTCCTCTATCTGCCAGTGAGGATGGTAAGAAATGACATCAGAATTACCAACTGCACATATGATTTTATGAGCAAAATTTTCCAAATATGATGAAATGATTCTCATACAAATAATAATCCAACTTTCAATTAAGATGGAAATGCCAACACACAAAAGAATATCAGAAAAATGGCATCCTTAAAATATTTTTTCAAAAGAATGGAGTTACTTATCCTAGAGAGGTTCTAGCAGGAAAATAGTCAAAGCAATAACTCTAGGTCTATAAAGATTAAAGTATATGGCCTGACTTTAAGATGTACATAAAGTAGGATTCACTAAAAGGAGAAAAGTATTAGCCATAGAGAGAAAAGAATTTTGTAAAAATATTTGAGCACAAAGCTCTGAGCTATAGAAGTTCCATTTTGTCACAATGTCAGTGCTTCCATCATGGCTTATCTTAGGTCAACAACATCAGTGAAATGCAAATCTGGCAAGAGATAGTAGCACACAACTCCGTAGGAACTATTACCCAAGGAGCATGGTTAATAGTGAAATATAACATTAAGGAAGCATTGAGTTTTGAGTAGATATTACTTTCCCTAAAATATAATGCTCAAGTCTACATTGACATAATTTAAGATTTAATAATATCTTTAAGAGTTGGTTTCAAAATTATTTTAATGGTTGTTCCTCCAGCACCATTCTGAGCCCAGCTACAGCAGAAATGATAGATGTAACCGTTTTCCACTGATGAGAGAGGACTACAGAATTTGCAGTTCTTGAGGCAGCTTTCCTGAGTCATTTCTTGGTGGGGTGTGTGTGTGTGTGTGTGTGTGTGTGTGTGTGTCTGTCTGTGTGTGTCTGTGTGTGTCTGTGTCTGTGTCTGTGTCTGTGTCTGTGTGCATGTCTGGAATGAACAGTTAACCAAAGAACCAATATAGGAACAGTTAACAAAGAGGTTCTGCCTTTAGAGTTAAATCAGAAATGCTGTGTGCGGTAGGTCGAAGATTCTCAGCTGGGGCCATTTTACCCCCTAGGGACATTTGCAAATAACCAGAGGCATTTCTGCTTGTCATAACAGGGCTGTAGAGGGAAGTGGCCAGGGCTGCTGCTGAACATCCTAGCAGGCAAAGGACAGACTCCTACCCAACATAAAATGCCAATAATGCCAAGGCTAAGAAACCTATAGGCATTTTCTGGATAAAGTCAAATGTTATCATTAAAACTGAATATAAACCTCTCTCCTAAATTATTTTCCTCAAACAGATAACAAGAATTCTATAACCCACTTAGTTTCCCCTTTGATCTTCACTAGTAGTATTTGTTGTAATCTTTCTTCTTATTCCATTTTAGGATCACCATTTTCTGTTTTTTTGTTTTTTTGTTTTTTGTATTACCCTAGTATGCCTGTTTTATTGAGAAGACAAATTATGTTTAGAAATAGAAAGTGGATATAGATGAAGGAATGATTGGATGAATGGATAGATAAAAGGCACAAAGCAAGATAAATAGGAAAAAAAAGAAAAGAATCACTTTAGAAATGCAAAACACCAAAAACAATTGGATATCAAGGTGCATCCAGTTTCCTATAAATGACTCATGTTTATTTTTCTTCATGGCAGACTAGTATTCCATAATGTGTAAATATCACATTATCTTTATCCATTCATCTAGTGATGGACATGTAAAAAGCAAAATGAAAGACAGACATTAGGAAAGAGGAAGGTAGTTCTTTCTTAAATAGGAAGGACATCAAGAGGGGAGAGGGGAGGGTGGGATGAAAAAGACATGAAGATGTGTTCTATGCATGGGCTGATTCCACACAAGGAATGAAAACATTATGTAATGCAAACATGTATAGTTCTAATAAAAATAGAAACACTTGGGTGGCTACTAGTGGAACTTGCAAAAACTTTACAGGAAATACATTTAAATACATTTTTTTTTATTTCAGAGGAAAAATGATCCTTATGCTCTTTCATCCCTGGTGTCTTTTGAAGTGAAAAAAATGCCTTATAGAGATCAGCCAGCAAAACTTCCAGAAGGACACATAGCTGTGAGTATCTCTTTAAAATGCAAAAAGATAAGTGTAATATAAATGAAGTATTTTTTTACCCACTATCCAACATGTACTTTGTTTATCTTGAGACAGTGTAAACTTTTATTTCATTCTGGCCTTTCAGGCTAGTGTCTTTGGACCTAGTTTTTAAACTTTTGTTCTAATATCTAGCTAAAAACTGATGGAGTATGACTCAGACGACTCAGCAGTTTTTAATCAAATCATTTTGACCCAGAAAAATCCAGAGAGCAATGAGCACTATACCAAAATTATTTTTAATTTTAATGACAACATCGTGAGTCAGGTACAGTGGAAAGAAACTTCCTCAGGGCAAGTTGGTCTTTGAGTGGCTGGTGGGCTTCACAAACCCATTTATCCTTTCTGTCTGAGGAAACACAAATGTGATAACAAGGAATATAAAAATTCACTATGAGCTTCCCTTAAATGAAATGTCATGTTTTCAAAATCTAGGGCTATTAAACTTCACTGACACCCACCTCTCTGTTAAAGAATAACTTACCTCCTCAGTGATGTGGCCAGGCCATGCATGCAGCGAAGGGCGAAGGGGGTCAGTGTCCACTGTTACAAGTACTCTGATTTTCCATTCATACACGAAGTTATCAGAAAATGCTGGGAAATAATATTAAGAAGGACCTTAATCTCTTGGTTATCCCATGGATATTTATAACCCCCATCTGGAACACTTGGTCTTTGTTATTAACGTATGGTTTTAAAAGACCAGAATTTTTAGATTCACCAGGGAGAGGATTAGCAGTACAGAAACAGGCCTCATTCCCGGTCAGCTGGGTCCAAATCTATATTTTATCAAAATCATCAGTGCATCCATATGCACAGTCACGGTTGAGAAGCACTGCTTTATAGGTGGTGTATAAGCTGATCCTGCTCTCTTTGCAATTTAAGTCTTCAGTCTTCATTATAATAATCTTTGCAGCCTAACCTACTTCAAACAATCCAATCTATGGATTAGTGATTGTCAGCTTTGAGCACCCAACAGAATCATCACTCTTGCTCACATATACACATATATGCATGCTAAGAAGACCTCACCTGAAATACCTGAACTTAGAGGCCCTGTTGCTGTGCTTTAAAATTCTTACAAGAGCATATTTGGTGTTGAAAGCAAGTTGTCTTGGGTATTACATGGGAAATACCCAAATCTGAAAGGAGGGGAGGTTTATTTGGGGTCACAGATTTTTAGAGGGTTCAGTCCATAGTCCTCTGGCTCCAAAGGCATGGTAGAAGGCCCTGGTGGAGGAAATCTATTCAACCTATGGCATCCAGGAACCAGAGAGAGAAGAGAGGAGTAGAGATTAAGTATAAATTTTTCCAGGTTCTGCCTCCAGTAATCCACCTCCCAATATACCCCACCTCTTAACAACATATTCTTGCTATAAACTCATCTGTGGATTAAACCACTAACTCATATAGCACACCCACCATCCAATTACTTTCTGAAAGCCCCACCCCTGCTCATGAGAATTTGGAGGAACATGTTAGATATAAACTATACCAGACTGTGAAGCATACCCACTGGATAGAATTATTAAGAAAAAAACTTTTATGAGCAGAATATATTTATTGAGACAAAGAAAGCTCCCGTCCAAGAGAGGGACAGGAAGGGGTGCCAAGTGGGTAGTTCCCCCAAGAAAAATTTTTAATTAATTTTATTGAGAAAGAAATGTCAATGAGACAGTTTCAAAACATATTAGTAGAAAATTAAGATTAATAAAGTTCTGCCCATAAAACACTTACATTGTATCTGGAAGAAGGAAGTCTCAATAAATGTTAATAATCTTAAATGTCTCACCTTCTCCAGCTAAATCCAGTTAATCCACATTGGAAATGATTAAGACTTGCACAGTATATTCCTAAACCAGCATGGCCACATCTTTCTTCATTTAGATCACTCTCTTTTTTTCATGAGCTGTCTGATGTAGATTGGATTTATGATCAGCCCAGAAAACAGAGACTATGGGATTTTAATATGGAATATTCATCCAAAGAGGTTCAAAGGCTTGTTGCTCTAAGAGAGACAAATCCAGGCCCTTTGGTTTTCTCTGAGCACATGTTTCATAACAGAAACACATGTTACAGTTGATTCTATGAAAAGGAATAGGACTGCCTCTTTCTGTACTGGCCACAGGTGATGGCCTGCTGCTCTCCACTATCTCAAAAGATATACAAAATGCTCAAATGCTTCCTTCCTCCACCTGCACCACCCATTAACTTATTGAAAAAAAAAAACCCTGTTATCTAATGTAGATGATTTACCACACCTTGTATGTAAAGATTATTGGAAAAACATTTAGGAATGGAACAGTTTTCACATCTCCCAGTGCTTAACTGGAGAAGATATTGCCAGCAGAAAGTTATCTGTGTAAAACCAGGGAACAGTTTTTCTGTGGCTTGGCTGACACTGACAAAGGATCTGATTTGATAGAACTCTGGTTGGAGCAGGCAGAGGTTTTATAGCAAGGTCTTCCCAAAGGTTGTATTATTTTGTCCTGAAAAAATGCTAGCAAAAGAGAAAGGCTGTAAAGTTATAGAATCAGTTGAAAAGGTAGTTTTGGAGCTTCTCAGAGTTCCAATTGGCCGCACAGGAAATTCTTTAAAATAAAACAAAATATGTACTTGTTTCCTTAGGCTCCTGTATCTGGTGATTAGTTTGCTGGTAATTCATTTTCAACATGGTTATAATTCAGCTATCACTGGAGACCCAAGTGAGCTTTTTACATGGAAAAGTGGTTTCCATCTTCTACTTGTGTAGCATCTGTGTTTATAACAAATGAACTCCAGTGACATGACATTTGTCCTGTTCAGAGGTGAAACAAAAGCTATGTGATTCATAGGGATACCAGTGAACACTGAATTATGGCAGTACAACAAAGTAGAAATGATCCAACAATTTGAACAATTTTTTTGGCTCACCAATGAACCTTGGCAATTGCATGCCATGCAGATATTATCTAACTATGTTTTATATTTGGAAGAAAGTAACATTGCCTAGTATAATTCCAAAGGTGGTTCTCATAAAATACTTCATGGAGATCCTTATTTAAGAAGCCATATGTAAACTGTAAATCTATTTGATTTACAGAATTGTAACAACATTTTGATTCCTGAAAATGGAATTCTTATATGAAGCAATTGATTGGAATACAAATTTACTGGAGGGACTACTTATCTCAGAAGAACTCTTTAAATGTTACTAAATGTGTATTCAGTTAATCCACTGTGTGTTACTATTTTGTTCAAATGGCACTACAGGTAGGATGTCTTTGTACAATTATTTAAACATTCTTCTGACCTCACCGAAGTATGTTTACAGAAGATTTTATGATACATAAATAAAGATGTCAACATTAATTACAATTGCAAAGACAAGGAAGCATTTTCCCTCTACCTTGGTATTTTTTGTCAAAATATACAAAAACATGTCATAAATGTCAATGATAAAATGTAGGTACATTAAAAGTTTATTTATGGTCTTTCAGCCATAATAAAGAATAACAAGATTTATGGCACAGTGAAGGTAAGATTAAATGTTCCCTGATTAAGACCACTTTAAGAAAATCTAAACTGTTTACAATTTAAGAATTTCACTCCCTGAGATTGTACATCGCGATAATAACTGATTTATTCAAAATTTATGCTATCTGCTTCAATAGGTACAAATTTCTGCTAAACAAAAATTGCATTAAAACAGATTTTTGACTAATTGACATGGAAATTCATTTTCCCCTAAGTTTTAAGTGCTTCAGTTACTGAAATTTACTCTTTTCTTTTAAAGAAGTTGAAATATTGAGTCACAAGCTCTTGTTTTGCAGAGAAACCTTCAGTATTATATACATTCCATCTTCTGCCTTGAGGCACTTCTGTGATGAAAAATTTTTATAATGATGAATTTAGTACTTCCACTAATATCCCTATTATGTGAAATTATACAAAATGTTATGGAGCTGTGCAGTCCACTATGATACCTGCTAGGCATATGTAGACATTTCAGTTCTGAAGGATCTAAAGACCTGAACTTAGAGTTTCATTTTACTTTAACTCATTGAAATGAAAATTGAAATACTGAAGTATATAAAATATTCTATTAAGCATAGCCTTATTGCTTTTCTAGACCATTTCATTTTTTCCATTGAAATTTTAGCAAATATATGTTGCCAATTCAAAATATACACTGAAATCTAGAGATAGTAAAACGATATATAAAAACCTTTACAAATTTTGTAGCAAATTATAAGTATTTTATATAAATTACCGACCAAAGTAATGCTTATAATTAATAGATAACAATTGCTGTTTGGTGTTAAATTAGTTAGCATCTTTACTATTACTCTAGTAACAAAACGCCTAAATAACTATAGGGAGACACCAGAGCAAAAGAGGTTCTCTGCAGTTGAACCCATTTTGGACTGAAATTGCAGCACACAGGCTGACTCGGCACCACACAAGTGTCCCGAAGGTGGAGATCAGGAAATCCTAACCAAGCACAAGGGAGAGACATGCTGAGTTGTGTGTAACTTTGAAGATAAGCATCCCTGCCCCCTGGGGAGTTCCATAGGCTGACTTACAAGAACTCTGTATGGCATGTGTGATCTTAACACTGTAAAGTCTGCAGGGAAGTATATGGTGTTTTTTAAAAATGACTCTAATGTTAACCAAAGCAGGCTGGCAACTGTTTTGATAATGAGAATTTCAGAATCTTGGCACTGAAAAAGAATTTCAGAATTTTTGGATCACTGCATTGTAACCATCTCCTCACAGACCATTTTATGGCCTCATTGCCAAAATCTCTGGCAGCAAATATAAACAAAAACCAAGTAGGTTTTGAACTGTCTCTATAAAGTCAATCCTTGCTTTAAGGGACCTTATAGGAATATGCTGGCAATTCCATGTTTTAATTAATTGTACATTTTCATCATTATTTTCAAAAACCTTCCCACTATTGTTATTAGCTCTTTGTAAGTGGTCTTCTTGGTTTGTTTCTACAGATAGACCAGTTCTATACACAATACATCAAACTGCAGCAAGCATATGGCAAATCTACCAGGCAGAGGACTCAGTGGGCACCTTCTCATTCCATTCCACTTCCTTTGTATTAAACTAGCAGCACCAGAGGGATCTGTTCCCCTTATTTCATCTCCTTTAGCATTGTTTTAATTCACAAAATCAGGATTATTTCATAGTTTAAAATGAAATAATAGGACAGGTCTTAAGAGTTGCATCAGGTAAATCAGGAGAGTAAAGGTTCAGAAGTATCTGTTGCTTATCTTACCTGAATTTCTTATTAGATAAATATAACAAGCTAACACAGGCACAGAATATAGATTAAAAGTGTGTGGTTTCTCTGGTAGACTTAGAAGAGAAGGAAGCTTTTCATTAAAATAACTCAAATTTTCCATGACTACAGATTTCTCTCTCCTGGGTCGTTATATCTGCCCTGTAAGTAAGTGATCGCTATTGTCTCTTTCAGTTACAAAGTTCTGAAATTTTCATTACCAAAACCATCAGTCTGTTTACAGAACAGTTAGGTTTATTTTGAAATACTACTTCCTACCTCTTCTCTGATTAGTTAGAATGTTAGGGTAGTGCAGTGATGTAGTGAAATGTAATTAAGTGAACCAAATACACAGATAAATAATTAGATCCTAATTTGCTGATGTAGTCATAGACATGCAAAGGATCATTTAGAACAAAATACTTAGTCAGTAGAATCCTGATAGCATTGTGACTATTTTGAGTCCTTAAAATAAAATTCTTCAGTATGTGAACAATGTGTCTCACAACATGCAACTGTGGCAAGCTGTGTAATTCCATGATGGGAGTGTCACACTTCTTACTGATATTTCAGATGAAATAGAGTTAATGTTGGCAAAGAAAATAATGAAGGCAAAAGGAGAAATTTTCATGGTGAGGAGGTTAAACTCAGGCCTTCTTGCCATGCTGGATTGACCACCAGGATTCCTGTTCTGTGGATCCCATTGTCTACATGGATATGATAGTTGTAGCTGGAGAATCTAGTGAATGTTGTGCTACATAGAGGAAGTTAACTAAGATAGGGTGAGAGGTAAGAAAAACCAGGGCAAGCCCAAAAGAACATCAGCAGAGTAATCCAATCTAGCTAGGAAGGCAGAAGAGAGGTAATGGGAGAAGATGCTTAAAGCCCAACACCAGAGTGTAGGTGATTTCCTGCTAGGATAAGTTTCAGAGGGAGCAACATTAGTCATGATTGCATTCTATCCTGAAGGGGTGTCTTTAGAATTATGGCCTAAAGTTCTTGAGCATGTTCCAGGATTGAAAGTAGATTGTTTTAATCACACTTAAAACTAGAAGCACATAGATCAATGCAATGGAAACAATGCTTTATACTCTGTTAAGCTAGTAATGTTTGAGTCCAAAATTAGATTTTTTACTCTTGTGTTTGACAACAGATTTTTAGGAACATGGCAGGGACTCACCTTGATTTTGCATGGAGTCTGCTTCTTTCTTGCACAAGTTCTCAACATACATGCAGCAGAAGTGCTTGTTTTGCCCACATGGGGAGAATGATATTCTTTTAGGATAATCCACAGTATTATACTGGCAATTAATACTGTTTTGCCAAATAGCTTTCAAATTCAAACTCTTTTGCTTTATTTTCATTTCAGATTAAAACATCAGTTATTTGGGCAACTCCAAATGTTTCCTTCTCAATCCCATTATGGGTCATAATATTGGCAATACTTCTTGGATTGTTGGTTCTGGCCTTATTGACCTTAGCTTTGTGGAAGGTAAGTTCTCTTCCTTTCTTTTTCATTTTGCACTTCAGTGGCCACTGAGGGGATTTACTAGGATATCGTTGGGGATGTTAAAAGATAACGATAAAGACATAATTTAGAGGTATTGAAAGGTCTGAAAAACATAAAGTAAAATGTATCTTGTTTGCTCTGTCACAATTAATATGTACATGTAGCTAAGGTTAAGATTGCAATCAGTGTTGAATAATGTTTTAATGTTGAGATTTCTTATAAAGAATAGGCAAAAAAGAATAGGACTAAGACTATTGACTAGGACTAAGACTATTGAATAGGACTAAGCTCTGTTGACTAAGACTTGCAATCTTTCTAAATTATTTGGAATAATAATTTAATTTAAACATTTCTCTTTCTTCTTTAATTAGCCAAGGTTTTAAGATTTCCTATCATCCTACCATTAATCCTTTGAGATTTTGCTTTATAAGCACTTCACTGATATGATTAATCACATATTTTATTTTGACTATTAATGAGATCAAATAGATCATTCATGCTATAAAATGGTTAAACTTGGGTTTTAATCTTGCCTATTAGTCTGTCTTTTTATTTTTTTATTCAACTCAGTGTCTTCATATTAAGCTACATGCCAGCCCTTTTAATTTTATTATTTTTTTATTTGGAGACAAGGACTTACTAAGTTGTTAAATTTCCTGGACTGGTCTTCAGCTTGTGATCCTCCTTCCTCAGCCTCCCAGAGTTCTGGAATTACATGCACCATCATACCCCACTTAGTCTGTGTTTATTAGGAAGCATTAACTTAGTCTTTGATTTATTCTACCAAGGTTTATTATGAAAAAACACAATAAAAACTAATATCTAGCTTAACAAACTACAAAACTGCCAGGCTGCACAGGGCCTTCTATTCTAGATGCAGTGTTACAATTACATGTCTATGAAAGGAATTGATCTGGTCATATATTAGTTAACCATTATTGCCATGGTTCTCTAAAATCATAGAATATTTTTATTTTGAAACAATATACAGTAGACCTATAAACTGAGAAAACCTTGATTTTATGGTAAAAACTAGTATTAGTATTCTAATTGTTATCAGCTCTTTTCCGCTACTATGAGCCCATATAATAAGAGAGGGACATTTAGCAATGTCTCCTGTATTATTCTTTGTATATAGTAACTATATCTCCAGTGAACATAAGTTACAATCATATATTACAATTGACAGAATATTCTACTAGGCTTGGAGAAGAGCCCATATTGGGTTCCTAACAGGAGAAACACAAAATAAGAATTGAGGTCCAGGGATCTAGGAAAAGGCACATCCTCCTTGGCAGAATTCAAAAGAGAGGAAATCCTGGAAACTTTTCTTCCCACAATGGTGGTTAATCTGTGGAAGGTCACTGGAGTGTTTATGCCTACCTAGCCCTGTCACTGAGATAAAGGACAGGTCCAGTCTTCCTCTTATACTTTATGTCCCACCAAGTGCAGAGCAGCAAGCAATGGTCTCCTCACTTCTTTCCTAGGTTACCTAGAGTCTACAGCAGGAGACTGGTAACTAGTTTCTAGTGCTACTCAGAAAATTTGCAGAGATCAGAGAGGGAACCCTAGGACACATTGCTGGAGTCCCAGGGAAAAATCCAAGATCTGTGAGTGGTGTATATAAAAGGGACTTTCAACTCTCCTCGTGTAGTGACATGTAGCTGTAACCCCAGTACTCTAGGGAACTTGCAAGTTTGTGTTCAGCCCAGGCAACTTAGTAAGATCCTATTTCAAAAAATAGAGTGAGGGTGACTGGAGATGTAGCTCAGTAAGAAGGCCCTGTGTTCAATCCCCAGTACCACACATACAAACAAACAGTCTAGAGACATTTTACTACTACCACATCATGGCCACTAATAAACACATTACTTGCATCTCTTAATTTGGAGAATTGAACATATTACAGTCACAGAGCTCCAAGTTCCTCAAAAATATATAAAATGAACATTCTTTGACTAAGAGGTTTCATTGAGTCATGTAATCTATTTTTATTTTTCGCAGTGTGGATTCTTTGACAGAGCTAGACCTCCTCAGGATGACATGGCTGACAGAGAACAGCTGACCAGTGACAAGATTCCAGAGTCATGACAAGGAGAAACAAAGACCATGTTCAAAGAAAAGAAAAGACAAGGGGGCAAAATAACAACAACTTCCCAGTGCCTGACAGTGACCAAGGAAATGGAAGGGCCTTAAGTTTATCACCTCATCTATGCTACCTTTTGGGGAAAGAAGTTTCCATGGAGCCCAGAGGACCCTCTCGAAAAAGGAAACAGCAACACTAGAAACAATCTGCAGTCTTGGAAGATTTCTTTTGCTTTCATTATTCCAAATTGGGTGGACATACTGAAATGGGCATGGAAATGTTGGTTGCTGTACAAGTAGATCCAGCTCAAGTTGCAAAGATGAAATACCTGAATTACTACGGAATTTAGAAGGTAAATTAAGACTGAACTGTTCAACACTACTGTATCCAACAGAACATTCAACACCTCCCTATGGAAAACAAATGTTTCTAATGGTGTCATGGCTCAGGGAGACAAGCAATATGATGTTGGTACTGTAAAGCACTTGACATGACAAAATAATTTTGTAAGTAAGGATAAAATTTTATTTATTTATGTTCCATTTCTCTGGGTTAAGATTTTGTTTATCTAGAGGATTTGGAAATTAAGATTTGCTGAGCTAGTATTCCAAATCACTTCATTTCTTCCAATGATAACCACTTTGTTCAGGTAACTCATTTAATAGAACTTTTGTAAAATTTACACGACATTAAGGAAAAGCAAATTGGTATTAGGAATCAGTTTGCTTAATGCCTTGCCTCCTTCTACCTGGAATTAGTCTTACTCACACCATTCAGGCACCCACATCTGCTCAATTTAGCTTAATAAGATGTTACATTTATATTTCCTTTTATATATGTAAAAATATTTTCACTGATTTAGTTAAAATATGAATTTCAAGGTACTTAGCATTCTGTGTGGTATTTAAAGGTAATAGCAAAATGTCTAGAGTCCATTAATGAGAAGTGTAAAACTATAGGTAAATATTATTTTAATAGCTATAACAAGCAACACCAATACTTAGCTTGGAATTAAATACTTATTTTCCCTGCTACACCTCGTACTTAGATGCACAGAGAAAACATATGGAACATAAATAGAATGGAAACATAAAGTTCTACAGATGTGAGACAAACCTATACAAGTGAGTCCTATGGATTTTTATTTAAAATTGCCTTTTCCAACTTTATTACTCATTTTTATTGCTAATCTTTACAGTACTGAACTTTGGGCAATAACCTATTTAAGCTATTTTTTCATTCATTTTAATTTAACCATCATTAAAACATGTTGTTTAAAACCCTTGTAAATAATCCATAAACATGTGTAATGTTATTATTTTGAAGAACAACTGACCAGCCAAATCCATAGGTAGTCTGCACAATTCTGTATCCTTTTTCTAACAATGAAAATTTACTATGAAGAAATGCTAAACAAATTTTTATGTGCAATATTTTATAGAACTATGTATCTAAGGAATGTTTACACTGGCATTATTTTTAAATGAGTATCATGAATATCAAGTATGATAAAACAAGCTGACCATTATCCTTAAGTTTACAAAGCAGTTGCAAAAGTCTGTGTCCCAGTTTCAATGATCACACTTTATTTGAAAGATAAACCAAACTCACAGACACTAAATTTTATGTGCCTTAGCCTGGATAGGAGCCATTTGGCTTCAGCCATGGAACGTCGCTGGAAAGTAAGCCAAAGGCACATGGAAAATCACACATTTGCAGTTTATCTTCTTACTGCTTGTGAATTAACTACTGCCATGGTAGCTGTCTGGTACCTGTCAGTTGAATTCTTAATCCCACTTTGCAGGTCCAATGATGATGAGCATAGCCCTTGCCTCAAAGTATTCAAGGGTCACAAACCAGCTCCTGGGGAGTCCTTTATAAGTCCTCTAGGTAGACACAACTTTACAGAGAGGTGAAGCTCTATGCGATATTATTTGAGAAATGCCAGATATCTGTGTCGTCTGTAGACATGTCCTAATTTTTGTCATGGGGTGTTTTGACCAAGAATGATTAGCTTCTTGGGATCTTTGATCATAAAAGATCCCCTAGAGGAGAATATACACTTTGCCTCTAAGATAGTATTTGTGAAGCAACTGAGAAGTCCCAGAGCTAGTCATGGAGATATGAGGAGAAAGATGCTACAGTCACCCAGAGGAAACTAGAGATACCAGAGGAACTCTGCAAACCAGAGCATAGGGGCTTCAAAAGCAAACCATATCTTCCCCGTCTCAACCAAGAGAGAATCCTTGCTCAAGGACACTGCTACCTACAGGGATTAGAGGAGACCATCATACATAGGCAGGCACCCATAGAACATGGAACCAAATGGAGGGAGGGTGAAAACAGGTTCAGTGAGCCCTCCAGTGATGAGTCTGCCATGTCCCCTCCACACGAAGCAAACAGACATCGCACTGAGGGCACAATGCAAACAGCATTATCCATTTCTTTTCTAAATCATAGTGTGCTGAGCTCCTCATTGTGCCTATCTGTATTCTCTTCAGGTAATTTTCTTTTCCAATCCTTACAGCTGATTTTTAGGACACAGGAAAATGGGTAATTCATTCTATAAACTCAGACATTTTTATACAGTAAATGCGTAACATGTGCTAGTCATCACTGAAACTCTACTTTTAGAAATTAACTCTTGTTTTATTTAAATACATGTGTAGATATCTGTGAAGATTTTCATGTCACTATTTACCTTGTCACTAATAAAATTTAAATTTAAAGGCTAGATTGCATTTTTATGATTTATTTTATGTGCAACATAAAGCTTTTACCTAATGATCAAGCATCAAAGATTGCCACCCTCACACCTTGGTTTTTATTATGAAAACATTTAGCACTGGAATATATTTGAGTGTGCAAAATTAGGATACTTCTTGGAATGATGAAAATGTTCTGCACTTAGATTGTGGTATCACAGTCTCACCACTCTTTGAGAATACTGAAAACTGTTGAGTTGTGTAGCTTGCACAGGAAAGTTTATGGCATGAGAATCATATCTGAACAAAGAGGTTAATGGGTTACTTCTAATACTCTAACCTTTTACAACTGATTGTCAACATTGTCTTTTAAAATTGTCTATGCTTACTTCTTCACTCCTTTATGAACCCTTCTCTTCTACCTTTACCCATTGTCCAGACTTCTCCTGTCTTACAATAACATTTTGTAAATTTCTACACTTCTCCATCTCTTTATATGGCTATTTTGCCTCTCTAATGAGAGCAGGAAGCATACCTTCTCAGCAGTATATCTCACACCTAATGACCACACTTGATATATAGTTAAGGCCAATGTCCCACTCAAATTCTAGAATGAAATAAATTAATATACATTTATACATGTGTGCATAGCAATAATCCTAGTTAACATGTACTTTTATAATCCACTTGGATTACTAAACACCAGAGTATATACAAATATCTTTATCTCCGCCTATATATAATGCTCACATTATTATAGGTTTGGCATCCCTAGTCAAAAAGTCCAAAATCTGAAAAGCTCCAAATTACAAAATGTTTTGAGCACCAATACCATGTAAAAAGTAGAAAATTTCACATTTGACTTTGTGAAGAATCAGTCAAAACACAGACACACTAAATTATTGCATAAAATCACATAAAATATTGTATAAAAGGCTCTGTGTGAAAAGTGTATATGGAACGAGAGTGAAATTCGGTTTTATACCTGGGTGCCCTCCCTAAGATACTTTATCGTGTACAAATATTTTGAACTTCAAATTAATCCAAAATCCAAAATATTAATTTCAGAATTTGGCAACAGGTATTACTTATTACTCAATCATCTCTCTCATTGGGAATAACTATTCCCAGCTTCTTTAAAGAATACCATTATGCTGAATATGTTCCTGTGTAGGGTTTCCTTATGTTTACTTCTGTAAGAAAATTTTGCAAAAATGAGACCTCCTGGTCAAAACACATAAAGATGATTGTTGTTCTTGATACTAATGTGTGTCTCTTAAAAGAATTAAATATATTTGCATCAACCTAAATGTGTTCTTTCCTTCACAATATTGGCAGCATTATATAAGTGGTTTGGTAGTTGTTTTCTTTTTTTTTTTTCCATAGTTATATGGATAAACAAATAGCAATGATGCAGTTTCAAATCAAATTGGTAGGACAGTTTCAATAATTAACACACCGCATACATTCTTCTTAGTGGTTAATTGCTGCACAAGATGCGAACTTGATATCCTATTTATAAACACCACTAGAACAAATAATTCTATTCATTAACAGAATGTAACTATATATCTATCCCAACGATTTTGAATACACAGATACAAAATGGACATTCATCGGTATACCCTTTTTTGTTAAGTTCCGTTATTTGAATATTATAGGTGTGTAAACTGA